TTATTTTTAAACTATATATAAGTAGTTATATATAGTTTATATATAAGTAGTTATATATAGTTTAAAGTTATAGTTATATATAAGTAGTTATAAGTAGAAAAATTGAAATAAAATTATGCTCATTTTTTTATTGTCTATAATTCCAATTATGATTTTTTAAATCTATTGTAAGAAATTAATGAAATATATTTTTTGGATTCTCATAATTCTATTAATAATTATAAGATTTTAATATACATTTTAAATAAATATTAATAAGTAAATTCTTGAAATTGAGAAATATTTTATATATATAAATAATATATATTATATGTAGAAATAAAAATATTAGATCTGTATATTTAGCATAAGGCAAGTTGAATCTTAGTTATATTTCATTTTATTTTTTTCTACATATGAACAAAGATAAAATCTTAATTAATCAAAATCCTTCTTAATCAAAATCTCACAAATATAGAATACTTTTATCATATTATCATCTATTATCATACTATATCATAAATGTTATCTACTTTGCTTCATTTAACGAAAACTTAAAATTAAGAATCAATCTTTCTAGAATTTACTAAATTTCAAAGGAATTCCGCGAATATATTAATTATATATATAGTAATATATAAATTTTTAATATATAAATATAATATATATAAAAATTTCTATTTCATATTATAAATATAACATTATATATTATTTAATTTTTATCAAAAATAGATTTTCATAATAAATGATCATAATCAATCATCATCAATCATCGAATATGATTACCAAAAAAACAAAATTCCAATTTTTTATTTCAATAAAATCTGAAAAAATAGCAGAATAAATCGATCCTTAACTTCGACAAAAAAAAATGGCAAGATTCGGAAAGGAAATGAGACGAGCAACCGCAGAATCATCTTACATCCTCATCAAAGTTTCACAAGGAACAAGAAAGGTCTCTCCTGTTCCGACTTCGAGGGCGGGTTTATCGTACGCGATCCTTGATACGACGATAACGAGAACGAGGCCTCAAAGGCAAAACGAGGAAAACAGAGGAAGATGCTTAATGGGGTGGAGCAGAGGAATGGGCTCGGAGAGGCGTGGAACATTTTGAACAATGAGGATCAAGCCATACCATAGGGAGAGAGAAAATCGAGTCGAAGTTACTTCGTTGGCTGAATGACAACGCCCGTTCCCTTCGACCTTAAATTTGCTTGGTTAATAAACCGGCGCATTCACCTTGCGAAGAACACGCAAATTGAGACGTCTCACCTGAATGGGAACCGCGGGACCAAGCCTCGATGCCATTATCGTGTGGAATCGAGGAAGGGCGAAGGGTGGTTCAATTTTACACAAGTGGA